ACTAATATTGTAAGTACCCTAATCAACTTATTATTGTGTTAAAAGCAGTGGCGGAACTACTAAGGGGAAGGGTTGGGCACAGGCCCTACCCTTCGCCCTAAAAATATTAAGAAAAAGTAAACTAAAAGAGAGAAGGTCCTACCTTAGTAATTGGTATAAACAGTTAAGACAGACACTAAGTTTCATCAATTTAATACTTAAAAGAACAAACGTTAATTGCTCTTAATTAAGGATTTCAATTCTGACATTTTTTGGCCCATTAGTGGATTTCAATATTCCATGATGTGAAAATTATTTACAAAAGAAAACTTCATTGGTGCTTTATGCAGTGTAATTAATAATTTTAAAATATTAAAAAAATTAAAATCTTAAAATACACTTTCTATGTTTCCCTTATGTCCATCTTCGTTTCCCTTTTCCAACATACTATTAGTACCAGGCCTTGGAGAATTAGCTGACAAATGCAAAAGTATCCAAATTGGTGCACATATAGCAACCACCAAGAAATCAAATTACATTAACGCAATTAATCTTAATAAAATGGACATAATTTAGGACTGAAGAAAAAATCGATTTGTATATTATTTGAGAAATAGTACTTTTTAATTTGTTCAAATTCTTAAGCATAAATAAAAAATAATTATAAAATAATAAATTCATAGTGCAAACAATTATATCTTAAAAATGAGTTCGTAAACTTTTTTAAAATCTTTCAAAATAGATCATTGTCTAACATGTAATTGTTGGACAACTTATTAGTTTTTTCAACTTATCTATTTTTTGAAGAATTACTAATAATGATAAAAAGACAATAGACATGACAACTCTAAACAATTACTTTGGAAACTAGTAAATGAGTGAAAAAACATATTAATAATTATCATGATTTACTAGTTATTTTTATTTTTTTTTATTGTTAATTTGAAATATTCTTTTTTCCAAATAAGCACAATGAAGTCACTACTGAAAAATTGACAATTTTAGTCCAATTGTCATAAAGCCTTACCTATATAAAATTCTGGTTCCATCACTGGTTAAGAGTGTATAAATATTTAAGATATCCATAATACTCCCCAACCCCAAGAAAGGGAGGCTAGAACCAAACACCACTAAATGCCTCTCAGGTGGGCGCCAGGGAATAGCCACCCAAGATTTTTTCATTGCTATGTAAACCTACATAGCTTATACCCTGGCTCTCATATTATAACCATATATACAAATTAGGAATAAGAAATAAAATGTAAAGCATCATAAAACGAATATATGAGAAATAACAAGTCATCAACAACCTTTGCATCACAAAACATGATATTGTTCAAACATTATAATGGTTCCATAATTATAAGCAAATTAAAAGTTATAATACCCAAAGAAAGTTGATCAAGCTTTTGTCTTAAAATAAACAAAGAAGGCACAACAATGGTAGTTGTCTGTCATGTTTGTAACTCAATCTGCTTCCAACTACCAAAGCTAATTATTCATGGTACTGGTGGAGAAATTTGTTTCATTTCTTCTTGCTTCTGTAATTACCTTTGAATGCCATCGAAGCTTGAAGTAACTTCCGATTTTCAATTTGAAGCTCAATCATCTCTTCAAACTTTGCCTCCATTCTTGCTAACGCAGACATGGCCGCATTAAACCTCGCTTCTTCATTAGCAAAAGCTGTTTTGGTCGCACGTGACCCATCATTCTGTTTCTTCATTTTCCTTCCCTAATTGATAACATAAGAGAAATAAAATTGTAAACATTTTATACATGACTTTAATTTTCATGCTAAATTACACATTGTAGACTAATGTGTTAAGCCTTACCTTCTTACGCTGACCTGTGACAGAAGTACTTGATCCTTGTTTGCCCCTGCAATAATTGAAACACTCAGTTTCTAACTTTCTATTATTTGAATTAGATAACATGAATTTTCATGGAGTAAGATAAAGACAGAGATCAAACCTGGTACAGTGAAGGACTGGAACATCAAGTTTGACGGTTTCTGAAATTGGAGCCTGACTTGCTGTCTTTCCTCCTTTTCCTGGGCTTCTCTCCACCTTTTTCCTTTTCTTTTGGACATCTCCTACTTCCTTCAAGCTTCCCTCTGCACCTTGGCTTTCCTAATTGATAACCGAAAAAAATAAAATGGGAGTAAGCATTTTATACATATGGGACTTTAATCTTCATGCTAAATCACCTCAAAAACTAGTGTGTTAGGCCTTACTGTAAGTTGATCCGCTACAGAAGTAGTTGAGCCTTGATTGGTGCTTCCACTGCTATAATTAAAACACTTGGTTCCTATCATTTTCATTGGATATCATAAAATTCATAGAGTAAGAACGCAAGGCTAAAGACAGAAATCAAACCTAGTACAGTGAAAAACAGGAACATCAAGTTTGACAGTTTCTGAAATTGCAGCCAGGCTTGCTGTCTTTCCTCCTTCTTCTGGGTTTCCCTCCACCTCCTTACTTTGCTTTTTGAGA